GTTGTATCGAAGAGGTGTTTAACAAGTTGTCCCTTTAAGAAGTAATATATGTGTATTGACACACGAGATAAGATAAGCGTATTGACGCTGAGTAAATAACATCCCGGCCAAGCTACCAAGTTTCCTATCTTTACATTCCTACTCTCTATACTTTTCCTATTCATATATATTTTCCTCGCATTGTGTTCTGTTCCATTATACTATGTTGCCCACTCAAGGAGTAGTGGAAAAGTATTTATAATGAGTTATGGAAGTGAAGAGAAAGAGAATTAAAATTATTAAAAGTATATATACTTTGTTTGGGTCCTCTCTTACTTTATAAATGTGTTATTTAATTTTGCTTTTAGACCGTTGTGCATATAATTTATTTTATATTGACTGCGTTTGAAGACTTCTGGAAGTTCACTTGTGTTTGTGGAGTCTGTAAGATAATGATTGTTTGTGATCTAACTGACCAAAGAATCTGTAGAGTTTCGACGCCAGAAGTTAAAGACGCCCCACTCTGGGAAGCATGGCATCACACTTCTTGTGGCGATCAACCTGGGGCTGTCCTTTCTTGTCATGATTAACCTGGCGGCTGAACTTTCTTATGTCGATCAACCTGGGGCTGTTCCTTCTAGCAGTGATTAACCTGGGGCTGACCTTTCTTGTGGCAATCAACCTGGGGGCTGACCTTTCTTATGGCAATCAACCTGGGGGCTGACCTTTCTTATGGCGATCAACATGGGGCTGTCCTTTCTTGCGGCGATCAACCTGGGGCTGACCTTTCTTATGGCAATCAACCTGGGGCTGACCTTTCTTGCGGCGATCAACCTGGGGCTGACCTTTCTTGTACACTGGAGAGGCTTGATTGTTTAATCAAGAGGCTGCCAGCTTGTCTGCTTGTTGGAACCACGATGACAACTTTCCTAGTACTCGTGTGTTGTAGTGCTGGCTGCTGGTTGGCTGGCTGGCTATTAGCTAGCTAGGACACTAAGACAACACTCGGGTAGGCTCGTCTGGTGTCGGCTCCATTTGGGTCACCATGATCTGTGAGCTGATGCTGGCGGGTTGACTGCTATGTCAGCAAGTCTTTATATTATCTTTGTTACCACTGGATTTCTGTGTAGACGTTTTGCAGGTGTTTATAACCACTGTCCACCTATTTCCCACTAAAATACTTTGTTTGATGATGATTCACTTAGAATGTCACTTGTGTCATCAATATTTTCTTTTTTTTTTGAGTGCTGTACAAGTGTATAGAATTCGTCTCACTGTTTGACACCAAGTGTGAGAGCTGTTTTGGTATCACATTAATTGTTTTAATTAAGTTCTGGAACTCTGAAGTGGCAGGGCTTGATGTAAACACTTCTTGGCATTTTCTATTTTTAAACTGAAAGAAAGTACCGTATATCCACAGATATAATCTGAGATAATATATTGTGAATTCTTTCCAGGGAAGTGTTACGTAAATTACTTTGAGATAATACTTCTGCTAAGTGTAAACTTCCCTGTATAGCGGTATGGAGTGAACTGCTCCCCACTGGGCGTGAGAGAGTGGTAGGAAGCGAGCGGTGTTTACTGAATCAGCTCGACCCCCGTGATAGATGCAACTTCAGTGATCTAGTCATAAACAACATGGTAAATCACTTGGTGAATAATTTGATGAATAACATGATGTTATTCATTGGGGTGTATTTATATAAAGCAAAGATGCTGTTACACCTGGATGAAAATTGTTTTTGAATGTCTCCGGCAGTTCACACCTCTATAGACTGCTTTGTCAATGGGCAGATCAAGAGGTAGCAGTATGGGTGATGAAAATAGTTGGTCAAATGCATTCACTGTGATTGCATTATTTTCTTGCTCCTGTGAGAACTATGATCTTTGAACAAATTTATTAAATAAGCTTATTTTTTGTTCTTACTAATTTTGTACTCAGTAATTCACTTTGTAATCCAATGAAGAACTTTTGTTGAGTCGTTCTTATCATTAACAATTTCTTTGTTGTTATTCTCCTGTATAACACTCGTTTGACTTTTGTATCTTCTTAGAAGAATTTTGTTAAAGCGAATTTTTCTTTAAATAGCTTATTAATTATGAGTTTTATACGTAATTTATTACTTAATCTTATCATTAGTATTTATAACACATTTCTTACATCAATTCTATACATAAATTAATAAATTTTCACTGAAAAAATGCCTGGAGAACTTTTCACACTATTTCAGTTAAAGGTATGTGTGAAACCATTTAGGCAGACAATGGTTTACAAGGAAAAGTTGGGTAGATGCTTATATAAGTTTTGGGTACAGTACATGCTATCTTCTCTCCCTTCTCTTCTGTTCTCATTCGGTCACTTTCCTTTTTCCTGCTCCAAAAGTTACTTATGTTGTTACAGCAGTGGAGTAAAACCGTTTCTCCGACTCCTTACACTGTGTTCAGGTGACAGTAAACATACAGTACTAACTTTACAAAACGGGTCTCTTACTGGTCCAATGAGGGAATAAGTGTTGGTATAAGAGGCAATTATTTCAGTTTTAGCATAACAATTTTATTATCAAGATCTCAAAACAAAGATAAATGTTATCATTTATAGATGAGGGAATTAACAAGGCAATACACGTCAAAAATAAGCAGATGCGCATGCTAATGACGCAAGTCTCAAGTTAAATTAAATTTTACTAATATTCTCCATCATTTCTTAAAATGTGCAAGAACAAGAAAATAAAGGTTGTTGCAGAATTCAAATGCTTAAAAAAAATCATAGGTAAAGCAAGTTCTCGAATCGCATGTGAAAACAGAAGTTTCGTCGATGATCACCAAACACAGTTGAGGGTGTCTTCTTATAGGTCATGGTGGCGTCCGTCAGGTCTGGCCACTGTTGTGGACTAGTGGTAAGGCTGTTTTACCCTGCAACATATATTATTGCCGTAGCAGATGCCGGTAGATATTTCTTGTCCGTAACTACAAAAACTTACACAAAACCCGTTGACTTGTGGGCAGGGATACTTGATGCTTCCTGTTGGAGACGAAAGGAGGGCGTTAGAAGCAGATTGTGAAATCCACTAACCCAGATATTTCACTTTTGTCATGGAAGAATATAGGCGAGGGAAAAAAGATGCCACACTTAGAGATCTCCTTGTTGCTATTTCGTGCGAAGGTGTTCATGAACACTGGTACACGGTACTTTGTGTTCATGTAAGACTGGTACACGGTACAAAGGCGTTCATATAACACTGGTACACAGTATTAAGTTGTTCATGTAACACTTGTACACGGCACTCAGGTGTTCATGTAACACTGATACACGGTATTAAGGTTATATGACTAGTTTAGCCCATCCTATCGTCACCCGCAGTATTATTATGAGTTGTTCACATTACCTTTACTTAAAGCTGAGAATTTAATTGAATATTAAGTTTTTTAGTTGTTGTTATTTGTTAAAACTCAACATACTGGATTTAAGTAAAAACAGATAGAGAAATTTGAAAAAGACCATGAAAAATAAATGAAAAGGACTTCATATGTATATTAAATATATATACATATATATATATATAAATATATATATGTATATATATATATATATACAATCAACACCTCAACCCGCCAGGATTCGAACCCGCGGCCCACGAGCCAATGACTGTGACCGGGGAACGCTAACCACTGGACCACCAGGATACAAAAACAGTCCTAGACTTAGTTTTATTTCACACAAAGCCTGTTCAACGAGCTTAAGGCGCCGTGAACCTCTAATGGGGACTACCCGTATCACGTAGGTGGTCAGAGTAACGTTTTACCAAATCCGCCTTCGAAACACGAGGATCCATATATATTTCATTAGCCCAATAAAGCATGCGGACTTCTACATACAATCAACACCTCAACCCGCCAGGATTCGAACCCACGGCCAACGAGCCCATGACTGTGACTGGGGAATGCTAGCCGCTGGACCACCAGGATACAAAAGCAGTCCTAGACTTTGATATATTTCACACAAAGCCTGTTCAACGAGCTTAAGGCGCCGTGCTTTATTGGGCTAATGAAATATATATGGATCCTCGTGTATCGAAGCCGGATTTGGTAAAACGTTACTCTGACCACCTACGTGATACGAGTAGTCCCAATTACAGGTTCACGGCGCCTTAAGCTCGTTGAACAGGCTTTGTGTGAAATATAACAAAGTCTAGGACTGCTTTTGTATCCTGGTGGTCCAGCGGTTAGCATTCCCCAGTCACAGTCATGGGCTCGTTGGCCGTGGGTTCGAATCCTGGCGGGTTGAGGTGTTGATTGTATGTAGAAGTCCGCGTGCTTTATTGGGCTAATGAAATATATATATATATATATATATATATATATATATATATATATATATATATATATATATATATATATATATGTGTGTGTGTAAGGATGTATTCAAAGCTTTGCATTTTCTGAAACCATTATTAAAAAGAAACTCGTAACAACACTATGTCATTCTTAATGCAATATCGAAGCATCGGAAGAGGTGTTCAATGCATTATTTTTCAATGTATGAAAGAGATTACTTTAAATTTAAAAAAGAGGTGATTGAATAAAATTTCGTAAATTTCCTTGTAAGAAAGGTTTACTTAAAACTGACAAGGCGATCTCATCATATTTTTTGCCTATCTTCAAGCATCAGGATGTGTCACCATATTCTAGACGTCTAGAATGACTCATCAACAATGAAATGACGCATCAAGCGCAGGAGTGGCTCGCCAAGAACCTGGGCAACTCAGCAAACACTGGACTGAGATAAAATATAATTAAGGTGACTCACCATTGACAACGGTGATGGCCACGATCACCAGCACCAGCAGGAATACAATGCTCTTGGTATTCATGGTTCACCAGCCTGTTGAGAGGAAACTTTTACTCACAGAACACAATGTACATTGGGTCTGACCTGTATAATGAACCTTATGAATGAACTGTACATAAAGAACGTCTAGTGGTGGACTTTTCTTGTTGTATTAAGGTCGAGAGAACCCCAATTTGGGATTCTAGTGAGGAAGATAGTAGAGCTGGCGAGGAAAGTATAAGGATAGAAATTGCATATTGTAGTATGTTGGTATATATTTCAATTTCTCTGTCTCTCGCTTTTCTCGATGTTTCATATTTGGCATGACATATTATTTTATTTACCCGACTTCATAAAGGTGTTGCACAAGGAAGGTGCGTCAGTACAATTTGAGATTTGAATTGCATTATTTTATTTCCATCTAATATATATATATATATATATATATATATATATATATATGTAATATTCAGAAATTTCAGAGTAATTTCAAATGCCCCGCCATGAGTGATACTGAGCGTTCAAGGTCATCTGAGGGGAGGGAGCGCTGCCTGCTCGTAGCGAGAGACTGCGGAACTAGGCCTATATGATATTGAATGTGATTTACCGAATTAATAATGATGCGATTCATGAAGTTAAGGGACTATTATTGAATTTGAAATTATTATAGATCGTTTAGCAGTCTGAATAATGTTACGGGTGTCCCAAGGAGTTATTAGTTAGGCGGTAAATATATCACGTAGGCCCAAGCTAGCGCCTTGGGGAGACACGACGCTGGCTAGCCCAGTCCCAGAGAGCAGTCACACAGACAAGACGTTCCGCGCGTCCATCAGAAATAGTCACGTGGCCTAGTCACCTGTGCTGCGCTATTGCAGTATAACAAGTAAGTCTCATTCGATCTCAGACAGGGTTAGATAGGGCAGTGGTAAAGTTAACTAGAGCTAACAGTGAGTTCATTTCAGGGTTTCCGTCAGAACCCACTTGATTGGAGTTGACCGGAGTTGATTGGAGTTGACCGGAGTTGACTGCGAGAGATTGACTGCCGTTTGAGACTGCCGTTGATGATTGAGGGTGGCGATTGTCGCCATTGGACTGATCAGTGTAGGCCTGTCACTGTTTAGCGGGGTAGCAAAGGATCTCTTGAGTGAACGAGTGCTCCCGACAACTAACACGACACGGGACCAGCATCAGCAGTGGGTGATCAGTTCTTACCACTCCGGTGCACAACACCACGTGTCCTCGGTCAGCTAGTGAAACCCTCTTGCTAACGGGAAGCTAAAGTTTCTCTCAACTGCACAAGGTCTGATTGGCTCACTCTCTTCCTGCCCATGGACGCACTGGGAGTACACTGGGGCTATCTGAGTATATTAATGGTCACACACTGAGACCGTGAGTCTAGGATTCTAGGAGATACCTAGAGGAACATTTTATCTTCCTTATCACGGGTGTAGTTAACACCATTCCTCAGACTGATATTATCTTGACGTGTGTAGTTTAATATTTCTTAAATAATTTTGATAGTAGTGTTTTTTTGAATGTTTGTGCCATTAAGTGGAACCAGAGTGATACTGTGATTTGATTCTTTTAATGCCTCTAATTCTTCATAATTCTGATCTCAGGTATAACCTTGTTCCCCAGAGCAGTGGTTAGGTTAGGTTAGGAAGTGTACACCTGTTGAGGTGCTATAATTTTGTTGAGTGATATTATTTTGCTGAAAGCCCTTAAGGCCTATTCATTGTAGAGTATTTAATTTCTTATCTTTTATTACCATTCCTCAGTGACTGATATTATTTTGTTGAAGACCCTTAAGGCCTATTCATTGTGGAGTATTTAATTTCTTATTTTTTAGTACCATTTCCTAAGTGACTGATATTATTTTGTGAAAGCCCTTAAGGCCGGTTCATGTGTGCAAACAACATTTCTTAATACTTCAAATTTATTGTTGCCTGTGTTTCTAATAATTTCTATGTCATGTATAACTTTTATTCCCCAGAGTAGTGTTTAAGTTTAAGTTAAGAGGTGCGCATATTGGTGTACCATTATTTGATTGTGTTTGTAGTGTTGGAGGGAATATAAGTGTCTAAATTTTACAGTGTGTCTCATTCATCCCAGTCACAGACGCTATCCTTCCACGGGTCACGGACAGTTCATTTTGTGTAGTAGATTTAAGTGTTCTTGTGCTGGTTCGGGATTTTCCTCAAAGGGGCGCTTCCACTGCCTTTACCATCTATTAAATTTTAATAAACCCCAAGTCAAGTGAGAAATTAAAGTCCAGCAAATTCCGACCGGTTACAAATGGTAGCAGAGCGTAGTTTTTAATGTCGTGACTGATAGTACTGTGGTTGGGATAATGAACGCCATCATGTGTTGGTTAGCAATGGTAGGGATTGAACTCGCACTGATGCTCATCCTTGTGCCCGGACTGAGTTGGTTAGGCTTGACAATAGAGATGTGTATGAGGAGGAAGAGAGACGGCCGCGGGACCTTGGTACAGCTGAGAGAGGAGTTCGGAGACCTAAAGAGGGATTATCAAGCACAGGTAAACAGGTTCAAGTGGAAGTCTCAGGCACACATTCAACGGTTCAGGGAGGAAACAAGGGGTGAATGTCAGGCACACGTCCAGCAGTCAAGGAAGTGTGAGGTCCAAGTGGGAAATATAGGGGTACGTAAGTAGTTCAGAGAGGTTGATCGAGCCCTCCAGCTGAGAGACAAGACGAAGCCGACCGATTGCAGTTTAGGGTGCATGGTAATGAGAAAAGGCAGGTTGTAGGGGGTGAGTTGGAGGAGTTGTGAGTAGGGCAGAGGGGATTGGAGAGATGGTTAGGTCAGAGATGTGCGTTGAGTAGTGGTTGCTGTCATGAGCGGGATTGAGTTGCTGTCATGAGCGGGATTGAGTTGCTGTCATGAGCGGGATTGAGAGTACGGTTGTAATGTCCAGGGCCTCACTAATATGGGCTGGTACATTGTCAGAGGGTTGGTCTGCCGGCATGAGGTTCGGAGACGTGGACTGAGTATTTTTTTGACACTGGTTTCTCTTAGCTCAAGGGCCAGGCAAAAGGAGAGCATGTTTGTTTTGGACTGAGTATTGTTTTGACACTGGTTCCTCTTAGCTCAAGGGCCAGGCAAAAGGAGAGCATGTTGGAGATGGACTGAGTATTTTTTTTTGACACTGGTTCCTCTTAGTTCAAGGGCCAGGCCAAAGGAGAGCATGTTTGTTTTGGGCTGGTATTAATTTTGACATTGGTTCTCTAGTTAAGGGCCAGGCAAAAGGGGAGCGTGATGTTCTGGTTGGATTGAGTTGGGCTAGGAAGAAATGGAGTTGCTAGCTGCGAGTGGAATAGTACAGAGTTGAAGGTGGGTTTTAAGTTGTTCTCTCAGCACATGAGGGCAGTGCTGTCTTTTTTAGGGGGGTCGAGTGTTAGCGGGAGAGAAAAGGAGAGAAGAGAAGACGGGAATGCTGCATTTAGCAAAAGGGGTGAGGTGCAGTCCTTAGAACAAAATTTTAGGGGGGGTCGTATGCATGTTTTCTCAGCACATGAGGACAGTGCTGTCTTTTTTAGGGGGGTCGATTGTAATATTCAGAAATTTCAGAGTAATTTCAAATGCCCCGCCATGAGTGATACTGAGCGTTCAAGGTCATCTGAGGGGAGGGAGCGCTGCCTGCTCGTAGCGAGAGACTGCGGAACTAGGCCTATATGATATTAAATGTAATTTACCGAATTATTAATGATGCGATTCATGAAGTTAAGGGACTATTATTGAATTGGAAATTATTATAGATCGTTTAGCAGTCTGAATAATGTTACGGGTGTCCCTAGGAGTTATTAGTTAGGCGGAAAATATATCACGTAGGCCCAAGCTAGCGCCTTGGGGAGACACGACGCTGGCTAGGCCAGTCCCGGAGAGCATTCACACAGACAAGACGTTCCGCGCGTCCATCAGAAATAGTCACGTGGCCTAGTCACCTGTGCTGTGCTATTGCAGTATAACAAGTAAGTCTCATTCGATCTCAGACAGGGTTAGATAGGGCAGTGATAAAGTAAACTAGAGCTAACAGTGAGTTCATTTCAGGGTTTCCGCCAGAACCCACTTGACTGGAGTTGACCGGAGTTGACTGCGAGAGATTGACTGCCGTTGATGATTGAGGGTGGCGATTGTCGCCATTGGACCGATCAGTGTAGGCCTGTCACTGTTTAGCGGGGTAGCAAAGGATCTCTTGAGTGAACGAGTGCTCCCGACAACTAACACGACACGGGACCAGCATCAGCAGTGGGTGATCAGTTCTTACCACTCCGGTGCACAACCCCACATGTCCCGAGCAGCTAGTGAAACCCTCTTGCTAACGGGAAGCTAAAGTTTCTCTCAACTGCGCAAGGTCTGATTGGCTCACTCTCTTCCTACCCATGGACGCACTGGGAGTACACTGAGGCTATCTGAGTATATTAATGGTCACACACTGAGACCGTGAGTCTAGGACTCTAGGAGATACCTAGAGGAACATTTTATCTTCCTTATTACGGGTGTAGTTAACACCATTCCTCAGACTGATATTATCTTGACGTGTGTAGTTTAATATTTCTTAAATAATTTCGATAGTAGTGTTTTTTGAATGTTTGTGCCATTAAGTGGAACCAGAGTGATACTGTGATTTGATTCTTTTAATGCCTCTAATTGTTCTTCATAATTCTGATCTCAGGTATAACCTTGTTCCCCAGAGTAGTGGTTAGGTTAGGTTAGGAAGTGTACATCTGTTGAGGTGCTATAATTTTGTTGAGTGCCCTAAAGGCCTATTCAGTGTAGAGTATTTAATTCCTTAAATTTTATTACCATTTCCTCAGTGACTGATATAATTTTGTTGAGTGCCCTTAAGGCCTATTCATTGTAGAGTATTTAATTCCTTAAATTTTATTACCATTTCCTCAGTGACTGATATTATCTTGCTGAAAGCCCTTAAGGCCTATTCATTGTGGAGTATTTAATTTCTTATTTTTTAGTACCATTTCCTAAGTGACTGATATTATTTTGGGAAAGCCTTAAGGCCTGTTCATATGTGCAATTAACATTTCTTAATACTTTAAATTTATTGTTGCTTGTGTTTCTAATAATTTCTATGTCATGTATAACTTTTATTCCCCAGAGTAGTGGTTAAAGTTTAAGTTAAGAGGTGCGCATATTGGTGTACCATCATTTGATTGTGTTTGTAGTGTTGGAGGGAATATAAGTGTCTAAATTTTACAG